CAATTGACCACTAAGAAGAATATATGCAGTGTGTTATTTGTTGAAACTGTACTTCCGATTTGATTTGAAACTGTCTCATTGCTGTTTATCAATAAAATTTTGAAAAAAAAGAATGTATGCAGTGTGCTAATTATTGAAACTGTCCTATTGATTTGATTTGAAGCTGTCTCATTGCTATCTGTTTATCAGTAAAATTATGGCAAAAAAGAAAAAAAAAGTTATAATAAATTAAAAAGGAGGGGGAAAAACCCATCTATGAGAAACCAACGGCCAACATTATACTAAATGGACAAAAACTGAAAGCTTTTACTTTAAAATCAGGAAGAAGACAAAGGTATCTGTTATCACTCTTATTCAATATAATTCTGGGAACATTAGCCAGAACAACTAGACAAGAGAGAGAAATAAAAGGAATAAGGAGAGGAAAGGAGATGAAGATATTAAAATATCATTACTTACAGACCACATGATGCTATATATAAGACCCCCAAAAGTCCACCAAACAACTTCTAGATTTAATAGCCAAATTCTGTAGTGTAGCTGTATACAAAGTCAACACTCCAAAACCAGTAGCCTTCCTATACACGAATAACAAACCCACTGAAAGAGAAATGAGAAAAACATCTTTCACAAAAGAATCTAAAAAATTATATACCTAGGAATTAATTTAACAAAGGAAGTAAAAGACCTTTATATTAAAAATGACAGTACTCTGAAAAAAGAGATTGAATAGGATATCAGAAAAAGGAAAGATATCCTTTGCTCTTTAGTAGCAAGAACTAATATAACAAAAATGGTCATACTTCTAAAATTGATATACAGATTTAATGCAATTCCAATAAAAATTCCAACAGCATATCTCACAAAATTACAGAAAATAATACTAAAATTCACTTGGAATCAGAAGAGGCCTAGAATATCAAAGGTAACTCTAGGCAACACAGATAAGGCAGGGAGCATTATAATACCTGGCTTTAAATTATACTACAAAGCCACTGTGATTAAAAACAGCATGGTATTGGCAAGAAAACAGACCTGTGGATCAATGGAACAGGTTAGAGGATGCAGAAACAACTTCAGACACACTTGACCACTGAATATTTGACAAATGGGCCAAACACCTTCAATGAAAGATTGCCTCTTTAATAAATGGTGCTGGAAAAACTGGCTTTCCGTGTGCTAAAACTAGACCCTGATTTACCATGTACTAAACTACAACAGAAATTGATCGAAGCTCTAAATATGAAAACAGAAACACTAAATCTGTTGGAAGATAGATTAGGTAGAACTCTTGAAGACACTGATGCTGACAAAGACTTTATGAACAAAACCCCTATCATACAGGAAACTATCACAAAGAATCAACAACTGGGACCTCATCTTATGAAAAAGCTTTTTAACAGCAAGAGAACCCACCAATAGAGTGAAGAGACAAGTCACAGTGTGGGGGAAAAAGAATTCCAGCTCTTCCACAAACAAACAAAGAACTATCTAGAATATAAAGAACTAAAAAAAAAAAAATTTAATGATCCAATCCAAAAATGAGCATCTGAAATAGACACTTCTCAGATGTAGAAGTAAAAATGCCAAATAAATGTATTTTAAAATGTTCAAGGGCTGGCCAAATAGCTCAGCAGATTAAAGTGCCTGCAAGCAGGCACAGGGGCTGGGGATTCGATCCCCAGGGCCTGCCATGCTGGCCCTGCCCCCCGCTGAGACAGCAATTGTGACTGGGCATGGTGGCGTGTGCCTGTAATCCCAGCTCTTGGGAGGCTATAAACAGGGGATCACTATGAGTCTGATGTAGTAGTGAGACCCTGAACACCCTGTGGATCCTTCCCTAAAATACAAATCAAATCAAATCAAATCAAATGTTCAACATCACTGGTCATTTGAGACATGCAAATTAAAAGAAAGGCTGTTATCAAGAAATCAACTAATAACAAATGCTGGAGGAGCTATGCGGGGAGAAAGGAACCCTTCTCCACTACTGATGGGAGTGTAGACTATTCAAACACTGTAGAAATAAGTATGGAGATTCTTCAAAAAACTAGGCCTATTTGTCTCAGCTATTGCCCTTCTTGGTATCTGCCTGAAGGAATTTCAAGCATCTCACCACAGTGATTAAGCACATCTATATTTATAGCAGCACAGTTTATAATAGCTAAATCTTGGAAACTGCTCAAATGCGCATCAACTGGTGATAGGATAAAGAAGAAATATATGGCCACTACTCTGCCATAAAGAAGGATAAGCTTGAGACAGTTTTAGCTAAAGGGACACACATTGAGACCATACTTTTTTTTTTTTTTTTCTTGCGTTTGACACAGGCTTTCACTGTGCAGTTCAGGCTGGCCTTGAACTCACTTTGCAGCTCCAGCTGGCCTCAACTCACAAGGATCCTCCTGCCTCATCTCTTGATTACTAGGATTACAGGCATGCACTACTATGCCGGGCTAGACCATGCTCTTAAGTAAAATAAATCAGAGACACACATGTAAATGCTGAATTGTTTCTCTGATGTAAAAAATTGAAAGTGTAAACAAGGACCAAACTATACAATAGATACTGTGAAACAGGAAGAAAATATTCAGTTAAGAAGGGGAACTAAAGAGGGAGTGCGGGGAAGGAAGGAAGGAGAAGAGAAAATGATAAAAAGGAAAAAATAGAAGCAAAGCTTTTTTAAATAAAGAAGGGAAGACTGGTAAAGGGAGGATAGGGGAAGGGGGAAAAATCAAGTTACAGGATATAGAGATATAAATTCCCTATGATGAATGTGATCATTATGTATAGCTAAATGTACCAATAAACTTGGTTAATAAAATAAATAAATGAGTTAAAACTCTAAACTTTCTAGGAAAAATCTTAAGAATCATGAATTGGATAAAGATTTCCTAAATAGAATGTGAAGTCCCAAAGTGTAAAGAAAAAAAAATCATCAAAATTTATGTTTGCTCTTCAAAGACATTGTTTTTAAAAAATAGAAAAGGAAAGCCATAGAATATCAGAAAAATTTCTGTAAAACATGTACCTACTACAAGAAATATATTTTCCTACTCAATAATGAAAACACAAAAAACCTAAGTTTTTGAAATGTGCAAAGAATTTAGAGACACTTCATATAAGAAGATACACAGGGCTGGTGAGATGGCTCAGTGGTCTAAAGCACCTACTTAGAACAAGCTTAGCAAAGCACAGGGACCA